TTGGTTATCGGTTCAACCTATGCAGCTTAGAGGAATGTGCCCAGTTTGAAATGATTCAGCCTCAGACTTTTTGACTGTCTGTACTTAGCCTAAGGGTCCAATTCTTTTGGGTGCTCAGCCAGTGGAAATTGAGGCACTTAGCTGTTCTCAGCTATGGTACTGGGATGTGCATGGTCAGACCCTATAGTAAGAAGAGAGGTTTGGAGCCAAGGGAGGGAAGATGGGATGAAGAAGCAAGGAGCAGGATGTCCAAGAGCAAGGTAGCTAGTTTGCCAAACAGCCTACAGACAATTGTGCCTGTTGCTCCTCTTAGGCAATCCGAAGGTGTTCATATATGGCCAGCCTGATGTACCCCAGCTGGCCAATAAGCCTGGGTGAAGCTGTCTGTTATAACAATTCTTGACAGTCTCAGCATCAGGCATTGGCCTCATACAGGGATGCTCAGCCCACATGCCAGATCCAGCCCCCAGCACTGGGTCATCCTGTTTGGGGATGGATACATAAGAAGCCCCATGATCCTGCTCACTAGATTGGCTGCACAGGACCCTATCCCAGCATGTGGGGCTGAGCAAGGGTCGCTTGGGGACCCAGGGCACTGATCCCAGCATGTAGGGGTGGCATGGGGCCCTGGAGCCCCAATCCCAGCGGGGGGAGGGCATGGATGGTGTAGAGCCCCAGGGCCCTGTTCTTGATGGATGGCTGGCCCCACACCATTCATCTGGCCTATGAGGCCAGAACGTTGAACACCACTGAGCTAGTAAATCTTTCTCAGGGAATGGAAAGTTTTTTTTATGCTGTTGAGATGATTTAATGCTATCAATTTTGGATGCATTTTTAACCTTCTTTTTGCTACTCTTTCATTTTCCTGTAGGTCGGGTTCAGGTTTGTTTGTTTTGTTTTCATTTTAATTTGTTTCTTCAGATGACACATTTTATAGTAATGTTTCTATTTTTACTTCCTGCTGGTATATAATATAGCAAACATGCATTTTAAGGTAGTGCATTTAATCTGCCATGCCTTTAGGCAGTAACTGCATGTTGGATTGTGGCTGTCTTTCTGTATCTTTTCTATTTCTTTGCTCTTTTAAAAATCTTTAGAAAACTTTGTTGTTTATTCTCCCTCTCTAGGCCTGCCAGATGACTCTTTTCTACCTTAAGCAGCTGGTGTTATTTGCTTTAATATCCACTTTTGCTCATGTCCATTTACAATGGTTGCGCGCTTAAAAAACTCCTTAATGGTGCTACTATTTTTATATCTGGGTCTCCTGGAAGAAAATCTAATTTTCACACCTGAGTAACTATCCAAGGTGTTATCTATGATACCATGTCAGTGAGCTGGTATTGTGGATAATCCTTTTTAAAATTACTATAACAGGCTTTAGTGATTCTGACTGTTAGCATTTATGGTAGGAATGTTTTTTTGCAGTGGCACTCTAGAAAGTGCTTGAAAGTTTTTTCATAAAGAAGTCATGACTCCTTTTATGTAATTACTTTCCTTTACAGTTTGCTAGGTAAAATGTATGACTTTAAGGCACTGGTGATTAGTAAGACAGGTTGAAAATTTTGTTGAGTGTTTTTTGACTAAATGAAACGTTTCCTGAAAAACATCCTTTTCCATGGATATTACTGATTTCCTCCCCCTACTCCAAGTGGGCATATTACATGGCAAGCCACAGATATTTTGATTTTGAAATCTTCTGTCAGTGCTTCTTGGGAGTTGTAGTTTGGTTGCCTTGTGGTTCCATTCTCCACTCTGAGTCAAGTTTTCTGGACAGACTTCATCCCCTATCATGGCCAGGCACTCCAGTTTCCCTTTTCCAAGACCACATTCCATGCTCAAAAACATACCTCTCTTAAAGCACTGAGATAGACCAAGAGGCTCACATACTCAAGCTCCCCAGTGATAGCATAATCGCATTTTCAGACTGAAATATTTGGATTTTCAGCCAAAATTTTTCTATCTTCAAATCTCCACAAAAATATTTTCAAGGAAAATGTTGTTAATTTTCCATAGAAGAAAACATTTAGACCTGCCCTTATAGTTAACCTCTGGTGGACTCCAACCAAAGTCTGTAGTTATAGCCATTTCAGGAAAACTTGGCAAGTCCTTTAAAAGTGTTTGCACAAACACTGTATGGGCATGTCTATGCCTATCCAGTGTAAGCATGCATGCAAATACACTAGGGGTACACTGATAGCAATTTTTGGGGCCGATACCAATAGCTGATTTTTAAGGAGGCATAACAGCCAATACTGATCTTGTTTCTGATACCAGTCCAGTAGCTTGAAGAGCTGCCTGTATCTGGTAAGTCTGGTGTGGTAGAAGGGGAGTGGGCAGGATAGGAATGGGCATGGGAGGGAGGCAGATCAAGGCCCCTGTGGTGAGGGAGGAGTGGGGTTGGGACAGCAAGCACTGCCCAGCTAGGATGGGGTGGGTGTGGGATGGAGCTGTGGCTCATCCAGGGGGCACAGGGAGGGGAGGGCAGCTTGCACTGCTCATCCAGGGGCGGCTCGTCAGGCAGCTCCCACCGCTGCTCCTACCGTTCACTCATCTGGGATGGCATTGGGGAGGGAGGGCGTGTGCCCCTGGATCTGTGTGAGGTGGGGCAGGGTGGGCCAGGAAGAGCCCCGTGCAGCCCCAGTGCACC